CAGAGAGGAGGAGGAGGAGGAGGAGGAGGAAAGGGCCTGTGAGTTCGAACCTCCTCACCTGCTGCGTCAGCAAAGGAGAAATCGCAGCTCTTGATCGCATCCCTGCCAAAGATCTTCTGGTGTGTCAGATGTGGGAGGAGGAGGAGGAGGAGGAGGAGGAGGAGGAGGAGGAGGAGGAGGAGGAGGAGAAAGGGGTGGAGGAGGCGGAGGAGAGACTCATGTTAGGGAGCAGAGTCAAGCGAGGAGCGCATGTACGAAGCATGGAACAGGTTGAGAGGACGAGGAGGTTGAGGCAACGGGACCTTGAAGTTCTCGCAAGCTCTGCTCATCTGCTTCGGAGGAAACGGAAGGTCCAACGGCTTCTCAAGGTGGGGGCATGAGGAAGGAGGCGTGAGGTCTGACGTGAGGAGCAGGATGGTACGAGATGGAGCCATGCGTGCCAAGTTCGTTGGGGAGCTCGTGAACCTGTGCGAGACTTATGGGTTTGATGGTAAGAAGCTCGAGAAGATTTCATATGAGACGGCTGTAGTAGATCATGTTAGATAGACTAAGTCAGAAGTAGCATTACTATGTGAGAAGTGGCATGGCAACTTTAGATTAACATTGCTACGTCAGAAATAGAATTACTATGTTAGAAGGAGCATTACTAGTCCACTGACTTGTTGCATGTTAGGAGTGGACTACAACTGGGAGGTGCTGCGATGATGGAGGGAGAAGGAAAGTGACAGGTCATCTTGCAGTATCCAGGCTACATCTTCGGAAGAGGTTACCTCGCTGAGAGCGAAGTGATTGCCGATTACGAGGGGTTGGAAAATCTGCTGAAAGACACCAAGGTGAAGCGATGAGGACGATGGTTGCAAGAAGAAGTGGGAGTGGGAGGAATCGAGGAATTTAAGAATGAAGGCAAGATGGGGAGAAGAGTATAGGACAGGACAGGACGAGACAGCACAGGACAGGAAAGTAGAGCACAGCACAGCACAGCACAGCGCAGCACAGCACAAATCAGGACAGGACAGGACAGGACAGGACGGGTCTGGTCTGGTCTATTCAACGGAGTGCGACTGAAATTGATTGTTTGCAGCAAGCATTTGAAGGTAGAGGATGGGCAATCACAATGGCATATTATCCAGATTCAAGGTTTTGCTTCCTCCTCCTCCTCCTCCTCCTC